TGAATTAGGGGTCAACTGCCATACACCTAAGTCATACCCCTTCAGTATGGCTTTGATGCAGTGATGGAGGGGGAACCGGAGGCCGGCTGTAAATGCCGCCTCATAGCAGCCGAAGAAGTTGTCGGCATGGTCAACGTCGTCGGTCCAAACAACGCTTGCCTCTACAGGCGGGACGACCACTTTCCATCCCTCTCCAACCGGCTTTTTCTGTAAAAAAAGCAGGGAGTGTGGCGTTCAAAGTGATCACATCCCTGGCGAACATGGTCATATCAGTCGGGTCGCCCTTAGCCGGCCATTTGTAAGCCTCTTCTTCAACCAGAGCCGCCTCTTCAGAAGACTCTTCATCAGGGCAAGGGCCGGACTCCCCATTATCAGCTGACCCCTCTCCGGACATTTCACCGGATCCCTCTCCGGATTTTTCACCAAATCACTCTCCGGATTCCCCAGCGTTGGAACCATAGCTATCCAATATACTGTCACCCGGTGTGCTTGGTACACTTGGAGAATTTTGCGGAACCTCTTCATTAAGACCCATCTAGGCCGGTTCCTCGGCTTGCTCTTGATTATGGGTCAGCCGGATCAACGGCTGGGTCGTCGGACTGGTAGTCAGGGTCGATTGTCGTCACTCTGATCCGAGCCATTCTGTCCTGCACATGAACAGAGACGGTCGGATTCGATGTAGGTGAAGGTTGTTCCAAGCACCCCCAGACGGCAATCCCAGTCCTAGACTCAGCCGTTCCTGGTGACCGGCTGACCACAGTCGTAGGCTGTGCCGTGTGTGCATTGGTGGAGTCTATATCCTAATGCGATGCAACCGGAAATAAAAGAAAGTGACAAGTATAGGATGCAGGCGGTACCTTTGAGGATTGAGATTTGTTGAGATGGTGGCTTGAAACCTCCACAGGCGGAAGTCTCCGAATGTGTTTGAAGCTGAAATAAAGAAAAATAGATCAGATATATTTAATAGAAACTCATTCAAAAGCCCCCCAAGCGGTGGATTCCCGGATGAGGTAAAAATTGTTCAAATTGATCAAAGGTACCCCAAACGGCTAAATGTCGGATGGTGCTATTTGTATGTTTGAGAAAAAGCCAAGGCTGCTCAAACAACCCCCATACGGTTAGATTCCGGATGGGGGCTATTTGAATGATGCTTGAGAAAAAGCTAAAGGCTGCTCAAACGACCCCCATACGGTTAAATACCGGATGGGGGCTATTTTGTATGTTTGAGAAAAAGCCAAGGCTGCTCAAACAACCCCCATACGGTTAGATGCCGGATGGGGGCTATTTGAATGAAGTTTGAGAAAAAGCTAAAGGCTGCTCAAACGACCCCCATACGGTTAAATACCGGATGGGGGCTATTTGTATGTTTGAGAAAAAGCCAAGGCTGCTCAAACAACCCCCATACGGTTAGATGTCGGATGGGGGCTATTTGAATGTTGTTTGAGAAGAGGCAAAGGCTGCTCAAACAACCCCCATACGGTTAAATGCTAGATGAGGGATATTTGAATGTTGTTTGAGAAAAAGCAAAGGCTGCTCAAACAGCCCCCATACGGTTAAATACCGGATGAGGGCTATTTGAATAAGAAAAAGCAAATGCTGCTCAAATAACCCCCATGCGGCAAAACACCGGACGAGGGCTATTTGTACCTTGTTTGAGTAATAAAATAGATCGCTCAAAAAGGACGCATGCGGAAAAATGCCGGATGGGGGTGCATTGAACGCATCTTAAGAATTTTTTCGAAAAATCTAAAGAGACAAGGATGATGACCCAACCGGCTTCAAAACCGGTTGGGGTTTTTGAAATCATTTCTTGATAAAAACTTAGAAGTACCCCAGGCGGTGTTAAAGGATAAGTCTATTGGAGGAAGGTTCAAACACCCCCCAGACGGTGTTAAGCCGGATGGGGGAGTTTAGAATGCATAATGCTTAAAAGTTGAAGACCCCTCAGACGGGGCTATGCCGGCTGAGGGAGAAGATTCAACAATGGGATATGGGTTAAAGGCCCCCCAGGCGGCATGCAACCTGGATGGGGTGAAACGTTCAAAATCGTCAAAAGCGAAAGTAAAAAGAAAAGGGCAGCCGGTACCTTAGAGACTGGAGAAAGAGAACCCAACCGGTAGCCGGATGTGCTTGATTTGAGAATGCCGGATGCAAGAAAACTAAGGAAATAATGCAGCCGGTATCAGAGCTCTCTCAGAAATTTTTTGAAAAATATGCAAAGTGTGGAGGAGAGAGAGGGTGTCTTGTATTTATAGAGAAGGAGCAGAAGGAGAAACGATGCCTTCTGCCCTAAAAACTTGAAATTTGAAAAAAGGAGGGAAGAAGACAAACCGTCTCCTCCCATGCGTCTGACACTTGTCACAGGTGACACGTGGACATTCCACGTCACACTTGTGAGGGGCAGATGTTTAGGGTAAAAATACCCTAAGACACATGGCCCAATAAAGGCTTGCCACGTGTCAAGCTTGTAACGGTCAGCAAAGGCCCAATCCCTTTGCGACACGTGTCATTGTACCCTAATTGAGGTATAGCTCACCCCTACTATAAATAGTAAGGGCAGACCTCATTAATGGGGATCGAATCATTTTCCACAAACCAACAAAACACAAATCCCCTTGCAAACGCTCTCAAATCGAGAAGCATTTATTGTCTTATTTCCTCATTAAGAAAGAGACTGACTTAATCTTCGGAGGCGGAACACCCCAGCCCCAGCCGGAGTATTCCGTTATTTGTGCAGGTACAGGCTAAGGAAGGAGCATACTAGGAAATTGTAACTCTCCCGTAGGACACATAAAAACCCCCAAACAATATGTATTCACGGAAGACTCTAGAACATGATCGCTCTTCAAGAAGGAGCACCAACTTCACCAAGAGGGATAACATATTCAAACCCTATCAGTGATCACGCTTTGAAGAAGGAACAATCAACGCTGTCAAAGGAGAATTAATAGATTGGATAGAAGATCTTGAATTCCCTCATAAATTGCATGAATATTGTTACAATGTTAACCTTGCAGGTGTGATAAGGAGCTTGAACAAAATGGGAGACACCGTACAATGGCCCAGAAAAAGCGACCTGAAGAGAAGAAACATCCTTTAAGATGGTGCATTTCCATTTAGATATCGGACATACCACATATGAATGCGTAGCAACTCAAAAAGGAAGTTGCTTACCTGCTGAAGAAAGGATATCTCCAAGAACTAATGATGGACAGATCCAAAGTTCCAAGCAGAGAAAAAGAATCCAATTCAGGAGGGCCACCTCCTCCGCCTCCGATCATCAAAACTTTAATTTGATTATGGAGGATCAGAAGTGTGCGGTTAAACATACTCAGCAGCAAAGCGTCACGCCAAAGAAAGCAACACGAGCAAACAACCCAAAAATGCACAAGTAAAGAGAGATGTTCCCTTTGATTTTGAAGAAAGCATGTAGTGGAGGAACATCATGACAGTCTAGTAATATCACTCCCAGTTGGAAATTGGCTCATTAAAAGAATCCTAGTTGACAACGGAAGCTTCGCTAACATCATCATGCTCGATACATTATGACACATGAACATAGACGAGAAAGATATCATCAATAAGTCAACAATGCTGGTCGGATTCTATGGAGAAACCAAGAAGACCATCGGAGAATAACATTGCCAACTTATGCAAAAAGGATCAACCTACAGGTAAAATTCCTAGTGATTGATACATTATCATCTTACAACATTATTTTGGGCAGACCATAGATCCATGAGATAGATGAAGGAATCCCATCAACATATCATCAAATCATCAAGCTTTCCATTAAATTGGGAATTCAAGAAATCAAAGGAGACTCGAAAGAAGCCAAGGAAATCTACAAAGATAGCCCACAAAACAACCTTAGTGGAGGAAGAGTCAGCATAGCAATAAGAGATTCAATTGGGCCAAGAGAAGATTAGTACATCAGAAGAATAGGAAGCTAACGAAGTCCAACTGATCCCAGATCATCTAGATCAGAAAGTCAGGGAGCAAGGATCTGAGCAAACAAATCCTCGAATTCTTGGAAACAAAGAAAGATGCATTCGCGTGGACCCACTAAGACATGAAAGGAATTTCACTAGACGTGGATCCAAAGCATACACCAGTAAAGCATTAATTTTCCATAACAAAGTGATCAACGAAGAAGTTCAGAACCTACTCAGAACTAAGACAATTAGAGAGGTCAAATACCCAGAATGACTAGCCAACGTGGTGGTGGTCAGAAGGAAAAATGGAAAGTGGAGGATATGCATCGACTTCACAGACATCAACAAGGCCTGTCCTAAAGATCCATTTCTGCTCCCTCACATTGATGCCATGGTAGACACAATAGCAGGACATGAGTTATTATCCTTCATGGATGCCATGGTGAGTTGTTAGTTCCTAGTATTGTTTGCGCTCCCTGTAGGGAAACTTCGCCTTGTTTGCTCATCGAGGAAGCTAGAGCTAGACAAAATTTTGCGCCCGATTGGACGAGTGATTGCCCAAGCATGCGAGAGGTGCGCTAGGTGACGGGCGTCGACTATTTTTGTTTCGTTTTGGATCTATTATAAATGTAAAGCCTTTGCCTCATTATTGATGCACTACAGTAAAAGTAAGCAAAGGTAATAGTGAAAAACCATGGCCTAACACAAAAAAGAGTTGTTTTGTAGATAAGGAAACATGTATGAGGCGTATTTTATGTCTCCATTATCTACTCATAAGGTTACACATTTTAATTCAAAGGCAACAATTTTAAATGCGAAGGTAGTATGATATGATTGATTGTAAAAAGGAAAACTTTACACATTAAACACAAATCTTTTCTCTTAGAAATCTGAACAATTCTTGTATCAATTCCATCCTTCGAGTTCGAATAATAATATCCTATATTGGTAGTGGTGTAGTTTTTCTTCTTAGGCAATGGACACTAGACCACGTTGCAACTATTAGTTTGAGATCTTCAATCTATTAATTCTTCTCCTTCATATTTAATTTTCAAAAATCGACAATCAATTTAACATCATAAGGAAGAGAGAATGGAGTTGCCTCTTGCATCAAAAACTAAAATTGCAATACAATATTCTAAACTGTTAAATAATTAACTACGATACCCTTAATTTTGACAACTAAACCTACATTACAACTTGTAGCATGGAGTATTAGATAATAAACATACCGATTTTCATGATAATCATACAACATTTTAGGATTCACGTTCAGCATCAACGCCAATATTGTCGTTTCGAAATGAGTGATTATCATCTTCCTTTGTTGCACAATTTGGCCTTGTGGAAGCATTGTTCATAACAATATCCTTACTAGCCTTGTTCTCCTTATCAAGTACTGAAGATGTAATTATTTCGATATCTTCATTTGTATCTTCGCAATTCATTGAAGGCGCCAGTTTTATCATCTTCTTTATCTCCTTCCCTTTACCCCATACTACCCCGTATAATCCGATCACGATTAATATTGCTCCTAGTACACTGGTACAAGTACACCACTTATATGTTATTATCTCATTGAAATAATAGAGATTACGATAATCTTGTTGCTTTGGAACATTTTTTTAATTTGTAATTAGCTTCTCATTTACCAACTTCCACAATAGTCTTTTACCAATTAGGGACGTATATACTTCCTAATATATATGTCCCTAGTATATATCTTAAAGGGCAAAAGATTTGAAAATGTACCTTCCTAAGTACAACTTCTCATCTAGTAAGAGAAATCCTGCAAATGCAACTAGAACGACTGTTAAAGGGTTGAATATGGACACGAACAATGGCCCTTTAAGACGAATACACCAAGCGGTTAATGTCACCATCACACCTGAAGCAACAATTCCCTGCAACAATAACGTGAAGAATTTTACTTAATCATTCACACATTGTCAATATAATGATCACCAAAAGGCTGGAGTTCATAAATACCAATTACCTAGCCCCTTTAAGAGAGTGATACTAGACTTTTATTTAAATAGCTAGATTTGGGAAAAAAAGTAAGGGTATATAAGTTTTTTTAGAAGGACACCGCTGCCTCCTCCCTTGGCTTATATAATAGAAATCAACGGTATTTGTAATCATACTTTTATATAATACTTGTAATCAAGGCTTTTAATAAACCCAAAATTTAGCCACTAATTCCTAACTTCATGATGAAGAGTAAACCTATTAACAAACATGACTCAACAACTCATTAAACCCACTAATTACTTGTAAATAACAACATAATTACTTAGAAAAATTAGGAAACATGTTTCACTACTTTGAAGAATACAATGTATCTCATATTAAGAAAATTTGATGGTGGCAATAATGAGAACTATTTATTTCAAGTAACGAAAATTATATATTTGCATTCACCATGAAAGAAGGATATATAACACTCTTTTATTTTATTTACTTACAAATTAAATCTAAATACAATTATGTTATAACAACAAAAAATAATGAGCAGATAATTTGCGAAAATTAAATATTTGCATTCACCATGAAGAAGGATATAATTATTTTTTATTTTATTCACTCACAAATGAAATCTAAATACTATACTATTTTTGTTTCAAAAAAATAAAAAATAATACTATACTATTATATAATAAAAAATAATGATCAAATTTGATATAATTTGCTATAATCTCTTATATTTGTGGCTAAATTTATCTGTACTTTTTTTTTTTTGAGGGCAAATTTATCTGTACTTAGGTTGTAAACATATACGGTAACTAATTACTAATGTTATACTTCGTATTTGAATGAATGAGTAATAAAAACTTACGGAGTATGAAACTGTGAGAAGTCGAATGTTCCAACCCAACTTCCATAACTTCAAGTCTCGATCCATACAAAACGCGAACACGACAGATTGGATTGATCCCATTATACTCATCAAAGCTGTGCATGAATAAGGACTCGGATAGTTGATACTCATCTTCGCCTACCACAACCCCAATTTATGGCATATTAATGTTTTAAACACTATTAAGAAATAATGCTATAGAATACTTTCATTTAGGCCCTTTTCACTTCACCTTATTTTTGCTAAATTGAATTATTTTTACAGAATTGAAATTATTTTTGCTAAACTTAAATTAATTTTACTAAACTGAAATTTATTATTGTACTGAAATTATTTTTACGGATTCTCTATTATATTTCTTCTTCACAATTACTGATTTTTATTGAACTGAACTTATTTTTACTGAAGTGTAATTATTTTTACTGAACTAAAATAAATTTTATAGAAGATTATTTATTTAAGGTGAAGTGAGTAGGGCCTTGTAAAATAAAAGTTTGAGTTTCTAACGAATTTATATTTTTATTTCTTTTCAATGAGAATATAGCAATAGCGGATAATGGTGTGAATATTATTTGATATTAGGTAATTACCAAACATTAAATCAAACAAATTTTATTTAGAACAAAATAAAACATATAAACGAGTAAGGTTAAATAATATAGAGACAAATAGACAATGATCACCTGTACAATCAACCAAGAAGCATAGGAACAACAACCACCTAGAGCAAGTACGGACCCAATTAGACGTTCTCGCGCGTCATGCACCACTGGTCGACGAGCTGCCTCTTTCATTAGGTGAGCGTTTGTTGACCCTATCTTAATTTCAACACCTTTATAAAATGTAAGCACCATTGCACCTAAAATCCCAAGTATAGTTCCCATAACCTTTGCTCTTCCTGGTACTGTTTTTAGTGTTACCTTCTCCAACCTAGGAAAATTAAATTATCTTAACTTCATCAATTACAATTTATTCATGCATTATTCAAGGGATTGTTGAAAGAGTTGATTAAATAATTATTTTTTGTTTTTAGTTGAGACTAAGGAACTATTTTTGTTCTTTATTGATAAGCGATTTTTCATAATTTTATAAACTAATTCAATTATATGAGTGACAATTATGTCACTCTTTGGAGTAGTTTTACTTTCTAATAATTATTTTTCATTTTATTTTACCCGTATTAAGAAAAATGTTAGCTCTACTAATTTCACGAATTAAAATAAATTTAAACAAGATAAGTTCAAAAAATGTTAAAAAAAATTTGATAAAATAAATGAGTAAAATAAAAAACAGTTAAGATATATATTCAAATAAAAAAAAAAAAAAAAAAGCTTAAACAAAATAATATATTAGTTATAATAAAAAATTTAGATAAAATAAATTCAAATAGATAAGATGAAACAAACAGACCCTAAGTACCCAATAAATCTTACTTTTATGTTTCTAGTAATATAATAATTTTTTTACTAAATTCGAGTAGTTAAATTAAAAACGGAAGAGACTCTCAAAAATCAAGCTTATGTGCCAAATTTGCCATATTATGTGGACTTGTAAATATTTGCACCAAGTTTGCCCCTTGATTTACTAACAAAGTCAATCAGACTTAATCTAACTTGAATTTTCTCTTATTTTTAGAATAGGAAATTAAAAATTAAAAAAAAAGGAAAAAAAAAAAAAAAAAAAAAGACAGCTACTTGTAACAGAAAACTGAAGATTTAAACTAATGACATAATACATTGAGAATATATAGTAAAATACCTGAAAAAAACAGCAAGAATGAAGGTAACAGCAGGAATAAGATTTAACATAGCAGCAGCAAAGGTGGCAGAGGTTAATACAAGGCTCTCCAAAAATAGATTATAAACCAATGTTCCCCTGCATTCATTTAATAAGGGTTGTATAAGAAATTAACGAAATATGTTGAACATATGAATAATTAACATGAAAATTTAGAATTATGTAGGTTAAGAATTGTCTTAAGTCGAGGTGTGCAAATTTTGGTTTGATTACCTACTAGCAAGATATTTTAAAACCTAAGAGAATAATGAAAACTGATGGAACTACTTAACGGCAAGGATGTGGTGTGTTAAAAAACTATAACTGAGGGGTACCATGTGTAATGTTGAAAAACAATAAGCACAACTTGAAAAGTCATAATAACACATGAGCACTAGGCTGAAAAACTTGTATATTTCAGCGATGTGTACGAGAAATGTACCACAATGTAAGATCTATTCAACGATCGTAGCTTAATTGAAGGAAACTCTTATATTATTTAATTTTATGTATTTGTTAATTTAGATTTCTTTTGTACATGTCGTATGACTTTTTATTAATGAATTGATTTGTTTTTTAAAAAAATTATAAGTTTTAACAAAATTATCTACAATTTATAGTATTTTGTTTTAACATCATTTAACATGGAATTTTTAAAAAAAAATGGCAAAATTGGCCGCAACAACATGAAATATTAACAAGTTGCACTCAGCAGCACAAACTTTGACTAGTAACTCAAACATCACTACCTATAACATAAGGTGCACGAAACATCATTAATGAGTTTTGCCACTTGAGATTCTCTCAAAAACCGCCCAAACGTAATATTTTATTATTTTTCTTTTTGTTGATTATTTTTTAAATGAAATTTAATTAGGCTTAACAATACATACTAATTTAGTTAGGCTTTTTTTTAAAATGCAATTTAGTTAGGCATCAAGAACCATACTACTGTAATTACTTGTACATTGTATTTTTTTTTTTAAGGTGACACTCCACGTTTACTGTCTAATTAGCCATATATTTTTAAATTATTAAAAAAAAAAAATAATTTAAAAAAAAAAAAAAAAAAAAAAAAAAAAAAAAAAAAAAACCCCAAACCAGCCTGCTCCCCTGAACGATACCCATTCCCCGCCCCTGCTGCCATCCTTGCCTAAACGGCGACCAACCCAGGCAAGGGTTCGCCCCAGCCCCGCCGGACGGAAACCAGCCTCATCCTACCCCATCGGACCGCAACCCTTTCCCCACCCCGAAGCAAGCAATCTATTTCTGGAATTTGGCTATGGCGATGCAATCCAAATACTCAGCCAAAGTCCATACCAAATATCTCCATTTTTTCTGATTTTCGAGTACTTTGGAGATCCTTTCAGACACCTTTTCGCTTCAGCTTCAATTACCCTTTTGCAATCTGGTTTTGGGGTTGGGTTAGGTGGGGTTCCGATCGACGCGGTGGGTTTCAAGGTGGTTGTGGGATTTCGGTCTGTTGGGATGCGGTAGGTGAGAGGGGGTGGTGGGTTGTGGGTTGTGGGTGTGGCCGTGTGGGGTCAGTTTGGTTTAGAGGTGGCGGTGGGGAATGGTGCTGGTGGTGGTTATGGTGAATGGTGCTGGTGGCATGTCACCTTCAAGAACCATACTAATTACATGTTATTTTTTTTATAAAAATACAATGTACAAGTAACTACAGTAGTATGGTTCTTGATGCCTAACTAAGTTGCATTTTTTTAAAAAAAAACCCTAAGTAAATTAGTATGTATTTTTAAGCCTAATTAAATTTCATTAAAAATTAATTAACAAAAAGAAAAATAATAAAATATTACGTATGGGCGGTTTCCGGGAGAATCTCAAGTGGCAAAACTCGTTTATGATGTTTCGTGCACCTTATGTTATAGGTCGTGTTGTTGAGCTACTAGTCAAAGTTCGTGTTGTTGAGTGCAACTTATTAATAGTTGATGCTGTTGCGGCCAATTTTGCCTAAAAAAAAAATTAAATAAGTAAAATTGACACTATATAGATTAACTGATTAAAAAGTTCACCAAACAAGGGGTTAGTTATTCATTGACCATATTTTCATGTTGGAGGAACTAAAAGTAGAAATACTAGAATTTAACAATAATCTTGATTAATTCTTTTGTAAATGAACAGTAATCTATACTAATATTTAATTATAGGAAAATTTAAAAGAAATTTAAGCTATCCAAGTGTCACCCCTTAAACTTAAAAAAAAAATTAAAAAAAATAAAAAAAATTATCGGGGATCTTCTACTCCAATAGTCCAACCGGTACATCTTCAACCCCAACCAACAATTATCAAAGGGATTCTTTAAGTCTTTTGGATTATCTTAATCTCACGATATAATCTTTCAAGCTTTATCTGTTTCTCTGTTTTCCCAAACGATGTTATTCTCTTTCGGTTTCTCCGCTTAAGCTTCCCAAACAACGCTATTTCAGTTTTGCTATTTCAATATTTATAAATACTTAATACATTCCTCATTTTGCCAACAAGAGTTGGCTCAAATGGTAAGTAGTTTTATGTCGCTTAAGGGAGGTCTCAATTTCGAGAAGCTCTGGTGAACCGTATGGGGCAAACTCAAAAAAAAAAAAAAAAAAAAAAAAAAAAAAAACACCATTCCCCAATTCATCACTGGTAGGTGATCATTTTCTTTCTCTCACCTTCTGACTATCTCTCTGATTTTTTTTTTCTGGTGTGTTGTAATATTCATTCCTCTTTATTTTTTGTTTTAAAATATTAGTATAGATATTTAATTTTGTTTGAAATTTTTAATTGCTTCATGTGTATTTTTAGTTCTGATAATTGGGGTTGATAGATGCATAGAATATTCTGAAATAAAATTGTATCAGTGTTTTTAGGAATATGTTTTATAATCTAATATTCCACTTGAAAATGAGGGTGGATGAGATTCGAACCCGTAACCTTTGTGTACGCTGGCTCTGATACCATGTTAATGAACCATCTCAACCAAAAGCTTAAGCCGATGGTTGATGCCTAGAAATATGTTTTATACTCTATCATTTTCTTATGCTTGATACTCCCTCTGTTTTTAAATACTTGCTCCACTTTTCATTTCTGATCGTTTTTAAATACTTGCTCCATTTTCGATTTTGGAAAGCTTAGTATAATATTTAATTTATTTTTCTTAACTAGTGGACTCAATATAAATCATATTTTATTAATTTCTATTCTCTCTCCTCTAATTCTTTCAACTACTTTTGCTTTTTATAATTTTTTATTCTTCCACCTACCCCACTACCCCCATTTATTATTACATTCTCCAATTTCTTCTAAAACTTCGCGCATAGAGAATTGGAGTAATTATTTAAAAATGGAGGAAGTATATTATATTTCTAGAAAATAATTAACTCTTTAATAAGTTAATATCCAATCAAATTCACTCATTCATGTTGATTTACTGGTTTCAAATTGTGAAAAGCTTTGTACGATTCTGAAATTTTAATCAATTATTTCCAAAGGTATGAGAAGTATCATTTTTTTTGACAATTATACTTGGCTTTCGACTAAGATGATGGAATTGCAAGTTTGTGCAGGTTTTTATTTGGGTTAAATTTGAGCAGGAGGATTCTGTAATTTTTTTGTTTGGTTTTGTTGTGGATTTTGATTTATAGTATCTATATTGCATAATGCTAGTGGATATGACTAAAAATCGTATAGTAGAGGGGGGTGTACCATGGTACACCCGGAAGTACATTAAATATAAATAAAATAACATTGGGACAAATTTAATGTTCTTTTATTTACATGTAATGTCCTTTTTTTTTTTCTTAAGAAATTTATATGTAATGTTATTTATTTTATATGTAATGTTCATTTAACCCCTTTATTTTCTCTTTCTTCGATACTCTCTCTCATGTCTCTCTAACTTCTTCTTTCATTTTATTTCTTGATTTTAATAGCTTTTATGTGCTTAATTCATTACTCACAAACACATTCTTACTAGATTTTACACTCCAAAATCCAAATTTCACAACCAAATTTTCGGAATTTTCATGATTCGAGAATTTTGGGTATTTTTTTTATTTTGGCTAAATAACTTGCAATTGAGTCTTCTACTTGCTTGATTTCCACTATTAATTCACTTTACAAGGGTTTTTTACTCATTTGAGGTATGATTGCTCTTTTTTTGTTCATCTTTTTTCTACTTCATAATATGAAACCCTAGGTTGTTATGCTTCAATGGTGAACTCTCTTTTCTTGTTTATTTTACCTATATTTTGTGTCCTGTGATAATGTTTATTGTTCATATGAAGCTCTATTATCATGAAATTACTTGATTCTTTGAATTTTTTGCACTACCATTGTTGTTCATCATCTTCTTCGTAGCATTTTATTTATCTGTAATGTTCTTTTTTTGAAAGATAATGTTCTTTTATTTATATGTTATAATGTTCTTTTGTTTATAAATTATGTTCTTTTATTATATGTAATGTTCTTTATTTTATTTGTAACGTTCTTTTTTATGTACTCTATATTCGTTTGTAATGTATAATAAATTATTATGACTAATTTATTTTATTTATAGGTAGTATTCTTTTATTTATATGTCATGTTCTTTTATTTATAGGTAATGTTCTTTTATTTATATGTAATGTTCTTTTATTCATAGGGTATTGTTCTCCCGTATGTACTATGCGCATGGTACACCCGCCTATACGAAACAATTATTGGATATGACTCATAGTATATCATGTGCTCAAAGTAAGAGTTAGATTTCATTTTATGATGCATACTTTATAGCAATTAGATAAGGATATTTTATCCAATTCTTTTGTTTGGAAAATCCAAAATATCGAAAATACAAAAACGTAGTCTGTTCTCAATTGAGTATCTTTTTTTCATGCCTTCTGTTTCAATTCACTTTTTGTTTTCTTGAATATTAATCTATGCTTATTATATAAGTAACTATGGTTACAAACGAAGCCGGGAGGTGAATTGAAGGTATAAACCAACATGTTTAAAATTATTCACCGAAAAACTATTGCTCTCTTCATTTATAATTACTTAAATTACATGACATTTTTGTATTTGATAGGTTGATTTCTATTGGTACTTGAATATTTGGGATGTCTGCTCTTTTTTGTATGGGGTTGTGGGTGAATGAGGAGCATTGGTGGTTGTTTTTCATGTGGTTAATTCTGCTTAAACATTGATATAGTATATCACTGTCAAAATCTCTATTACATTGGAGAATAAATTCTTTTAGTGCTACATATCTTATATGTTTTCTTTCAATTTAATAAAAAATTCCTTGCATAATACTGAATGACTTAGGACGCTGAAGAAAAAGATGCAAAATATTGAATCAACATTACTCATCCAAAGAGGAGTATTATTGCGGTTTAATTTCCTATATTTTGTGCAACCTTCTTTTCACTCACACCATGTGTTAACTTCTTTCCTTAAATGATTTGAACTTAACCCTGCAGAGTACCATGTTTAATCGCCCCACAATGAGGCGAGCGGCAAAATGAATGGTGAGATAGTACCTCAATTATGGTATTTGTCATAATGGAGTGAGAACTTAGTTATACGAGTTCTCCGCATTGGTGGAGATGATTGGTAATGTGGTATATTAGACTCAATAATTTAGTTGACACATGCACATATGCTTATTGTGGGAGATGTGTAGCTTCATTACACTAAAATCTGGAATTCTTTTTAGTCTTATATTTTTGTTAAGTAAGAAAGCAATGTCACACTTTGATTTCATTCTTGCATTGTTTTAGTTGAACTGTAGTTTTATACTTCGTATTTCCTTATCTTAGGCAAGAAGACATACACTTTGTCTTCAAATTGGATGTAGGTTCATCAGAAAAATACTTTCTCCGTTTCTATTTAGTTGACGTGTTCAATTTAGCTACATATATTAAGGAGAGGAGAGAGAGTGAGAGATAATGATAAATAAAGTAAGTAGGGGAGGTAATAAATACAAAGTAAAAAGCTTACCCCAAAAGGATTCACGTCAATTAAACAAAAAACTTTTTAAAAAGGAATACGTATCACCTAAAAAAACCGACGTAAGTAGAAAGAAAAAATAGAGATAATGGCAATATTCTTGTGGTTTCCCAAAAGTCTATTAACATTGATTTTTTATTGTCATACATGGTGTTAGCTACTGTACTTTTGAATTTAGGGTCCGTTTGGTAGGGTGTAAAACATTTTCAATGTAAAATGGTTTTCCATGAAAATCATTTTACAATGGAAAACTCATTTTCAAAAAAGTTTTCCGTTGTTTGGTCGAATGGAAAATAATTTTCCATTTTAAGCATTTTCCATTGTTTGGTTGAACTGAAAATTCAATTGTGAGGGAAAATGTTTTCCCTCCACTTGTGATGGAAAATGTTTTCCTTCTAAATTGGGGGGAAAATGTTTTCAATAAGGTGGAAAATGATTTTCCACCCCAAGTTTTACATTTTAATGTTTTACACCAAACCAAACAATGTAAAATGGGAAAACATTTTTCAATGAAAATGTTTTACTCCCTACCAAACGGAGCCTTAGCCTTGGAAAATGTTGAATTCATATTTTTGGAGTAGCAATCTTGCAGAGAATATGTGGGTTAATGTTGTTGATTTTCTATTAGATATAATGGCAATATATGAATGATTGAATGGATGAGTATGGCAATTTCTAGTAGCTTATTAAGGGGAGACAGCTCAACAGCCAGTTCTTCAAGGCAAAGGCACTAGCGGGGAATTCAATGGGAGAGATTGAACATAACAAGATAGAAATACATGTTAACAAAGCTAGAACAGTACAAGACAGAATCGTTTTACATTGTTAAAGTATTGGATCACCTATTGAAAATGTTGTTTATGTATGATGCATATGTGATACCTTCAGAATTTAATTTAAAGGTTTAGATTGATTCCTCCCATCATGCTTAATTTCATTCTACTACCACAATACAATTTGTATATATTTACCCATATTTTGGCTGAAGTACAATCCATGGGCAATAATCCCAATATGCAATTTAACATTCCATCAAAGAAAATATTAACAAAAATTTAACCCATGCATAGCGTTAAGATTGTAGCAATTTGTTTTAAGTTGTAAGAAATATTTATTTTCTCTCCTATTGAAAATGTTATATTTTGCTACCATATATTTTAGTATTTTAGTATTAGATTGAATCCTTTCATAATGCATACTTTCAACTACTATACACAACAATTTGTATTTACAAACCTATTTTGGCTTAAATTTTATTCAAGAGTAATTCCAATATGCAAATGAACAATTAAAAAAAAAAAAAAAACAAAAAAATAAAAAGTTTGACCCGTGTATTACACTGGCTAAATACTAAGTATGATTAAAAGATCCAAAATATGGGGTTCCAAGAAACAACTAACCCAAAAAGTCCACACAGAAAAGCTTGGCCGAGAACCGTCCATGTTAACTTTGGTCTGGTTTTCCTAAAAAGACAACCAACAGTACACATGATATTTACAGGTTTTTACATTTTGTAAGATGACGACGACGACAACAACAACAACAAAAAAAAAAAGAAGGGGGGGGGGAATATGGGAAATTTAATGAGTAAATTACACATTTTGGCTTGATGAACATTACTACGGAGTAATACATAACAAATGGATAAGTTACCCGTCGGACATGATTTAACTTAATTTTTTTTTTACTAACTAATTATTGATTAAGTATTATATTTGTTCTCTATTGATTGATTTAAAGTACTTATATGTACTTAATTTGAATTATATTTGTTGAAATAAAATTCTTTCTATTGAACTTAATTATTTTTAACATTGATTGAAGAAAGCAAGGCCTAAAATATAATAATTATTTAAAATCTTTAAAAGAGTCACATAAGTAATTAAAACACTTACAGTGTGTTAGGATAAAGAAATGGGAAGAAAGGAAGGGGAGGGAGGTGAAAGGGAGGGAAGAGAAAGGGAGAGAAGGGAAGAAAGATGAGGGTTTTTTTTTTTAAAGTCTCTCCATTGTTAGAGAAATTAATTTCTTATTGTAAAATTTAATCTCTCTATGTATCTTCCCTCCAATTTCCCTTCTTTTCTCATTTGCTATCCAAATGACAGATAATTCAACCCTCAATTTCCCTTCCCTTCCTTTCCCTCCATTTTCTTCAATCCAAACAAAGTGTTACTACAAGTGGGGGGTTCCAATTGGTAGCTTGGATTATTGTGGAGGGGGAAGAGAAGGAGGTGGCTGGCTGGTGGTAATTTTTGTTTGTTTCTTTTAATTTAATTTATTTTAATTATTATATAGTTAAGTGAGAGTTAGAGGGTAATTAGAAGAAGTAAGAGAAATATGAGGATAATTAAGTGAATCAGAGGTCCTTGGTTGTCTTCAACAAAAAAAATTAACAATCAGGTTTTAAGTTTCCGAAAAAAAATTTAAAAGGTTTTTCCAAACAAAATTTGCTTTAAAAGGTTTGACAAAATTTCCTTACAAAGAAAAAAAAAATCTAAATTGATACAAATTCAAGGGCCTATTTTGTTCACCTTATTTCCACTTATTTCAGATCAGTTAAATACAAAAAAGATAAGTTCAAGGAATATAAGTTCTCCAACTACAAATTACAACTAAAATATTCCCTCCGTTTCGTATTACTCGCAACACCAGTGTGTTCACAAACATTGAGAAAATTTATAGAGCGAGGCCCAAAAGAGACTTTTTTTAATAATATAAAGTATTGTTGGTAGGAGAGAGAAATAATAAAAATTAGTATAAGTGGGTTTGGTAGGAAATAAAAATAATAAAATAATATTTGTGAATGTGGGGTCATTGGGAGAGAAAAATTATAAAATAGTGGTGAGTCATTTCCAAGTATAAAAAAAAGGAAAGTGTTGCGATTAATACAACTAGGGTGGCTAACGCGCGCGATGCGAGCGCCATATCTAGTCATGTTCTATGTTCTTTTTCATTTGTTGGTTACAGTAAGGAAAAAAGTAAACAAGTATTTTAGGAATTAGGAGTATAAATGTTTGCACACTATTTTAAATAGTTAAAAATAATAATAATAATAATAATAATAATAATAATAAACATTAATGAAGATAAATTATAAAAAAATAAAAAAAAAATAACATTAATGAAGGTAAAATAAAACTTGTACATATTAACGAGGTTAAACATGTAAACGCACATTTTGAAGGTTATAATTAGAAACACACTTTTCATAAGAGTAATTTTATAAGGTAAGGAAATAGAAGGGGTAAGTTTTTAATAAGGTCTAATAAGTATATATAAGTTCTAATGGCGAAATATGTATTCTTAAATATTAGGAAGAAAGTTTAAAAACTTTATTAAAATTAGTTAAGTTCACATAAATTAGCAAAAAAGTTTTAATAACGAAGTATGTATTCTTAAGGATTAGGATTACATACAATTATAATTTTTATTATAAAATATTACGAAATATAAATTTGGAAATGCATGACAAAGTAATCATTGATTGTCGTTATTGGTATATAACTTATAATTTTAATAGATTGCTCAATACTCCAATGTTCTAATATATATATTTTACTCCCTTCGTTCCTAAATAATTGACACATCTGACTTTTTTCTCAATATACTAGCTTTGACAATAGTTTTAGTAACGTGTTAAAGATAAAAATTTTCTAATGAAATGCTTACCATAAGGTTTGAACTTAAGATCACTTAAAGTGAGTTAAAAGTGATTAATCATGCGTTTATAACTAACTCTTAAATTTTTATATATATTTTATTATTTTTGTATACGGAAGGTAGCGAATTTGATTAGTGATGATCATCTCTTAAACCAATCTTATTACTTTCTATATTTCGGAATAATCGCAATACTAGACATTGCATTGCGTTGTATGAAAATTTTAGGAAGTGAGATTTTTTAAAATATAAAGTATCGTTAGTAAGAGAGAGAATAATAAAATGGTAGCGCAGGGCCTTGTTCATTTCACCTTATTTTTGTGCAAAGAAATTTTTCTACTGAACTTAAATTAGTTTTACTAAAACTAATCTATTTTTCTAATTAAAATTTATTTTTACTGATTCTTTATTATATTAGTTCCATAAATTCATTGATTTTTACTAATTAAAACTTAATTTAACTTAATTGAAATCATTTTTGTTAATTTGAACTTATTTTTAATGAAATTAATTGTACTAAATATTATTATTATAAGGTGAATAGAACAAGGCCTAAATAAGGTTTTCCGAGAGAAAATTAAAACTTTAATATTACAAGTGGATTTGTAGGAGTGAGAAATAATAAATAGTGGTGGAAAATGGAGTGAGTATTTGATAATGTTTATCAATGTAATTTTTGCGAACAAATTACTGTATATTAATTTTATGTGTTTTTGATATTTATGTCTAGCTATTTTTTACTACTCCCTTCGTCCTTAAAAGTTCGACCCTAATGGGCAATTTTCACGGGTATTAAGAAAGTTAAATAAGAAGTAGTAGATTACATTAAAAAGGTAAATTTACATGGGGTTTGCAAAAAAGTAGAGAGAGATAGTAATAAAAGTACATGAAAAGATCAAAACTTACATGAAAAAACTAATTTTGCACAAATATTGTTGTAAATTGGATGGTATTTTATGCAAATGGGATGATCATTTTGGGGCTAAATTTTAGCCATTAGGATCAAATTTTTGGGGACGGATGGAGTATATCATTGTGTAGTATAACACGATATATGCGTGAATTTGTCATAAATGTTCAACTTTATTCTATTTTAAAAGTTAAAAAATAATAAAGTAATACTCCATAATAAATAAACATATATGTATATCCCAATTAAAATTATTCAGAGTAACAATTTGGAACATCGTTCATGACACGCACTAGTTGAAAACTTATTTAGGATACGATTTTCCAATATTACTGCGTATAATTTTGAGCCCATTTTGATTACTTTACGCGAGGAAAATCAACACCAATACTTAATGAAATTCTTTTTTTTTTTTCCTCCTTAATGGAATTCTTGACACGTACAATAATAAATAAATAAACGTCACACCTTTAATGCATTTAGTTACACTTTAAATTTGATTCTAATAAAAAAAAAATAGAATTACGACTTCGCTACTTCAATTTTGCTGTTGTGTGTTGGGACTCGTGGTAATAAGAACACAATTGCTGAATCATCCCAATTCCCAACAGCTGTAAAGTTTTTGGTCTTCAACACAAATTTGATTGAGTCACGTAATTATTTGAGTTAATAATGCAATTGAATGGTATTTAATGTTTCATTTTGAAATACCATTCTTAAGATATTGGCTTATTTATTTCCAAAGCAAGCAACCATGCATCCATGCATGCATGCATTTTTCCTACGGAGCAATAATTTTTTTTTTCTTTTCTTTTTCTAATATATTGATTCGTAAACTTGAATATTTGATGGTGGAGCGAGAGGAATAATACGCCCTTTTTTCTTTTTCTTTTTTTTTTTTCTTTTTTTCTTAATTTTTTTTTTATTTTACAAGATAAAATTTCAAGTACAAAAAACAACTGCCAGAAAATAATCAATGCTTGATATATGCTGGAATAAAAGAAAAATAAAGAAGAAAAAAGGCAATAAATGAAATTAAAAGTCAATTCAATACCAGAAAATAATCAAACTATACTATACTCAGGCATGCAATATGTACTTTTGTTTACAACATTTTGTACTTTGTAAGATAGTTTATTAATATTTAAATTTAAAAAATAAAGTACTCTGTAGTTTTTTGAAAAAAAAAAAGAAACAATTTTAATAAAGTATTTCACACAAAATTTTATAATTACAATGATAGTATTTTTTTTTGGAGGTAAATTATAATCATAATAGATCAATCTAAGTATATATTACCTCCGTTTCAAATTAATCGACAACAATTGCCAATTTTGCATAGGTCTTAAATTTTTGAGGTGCATGCCAATCAATTGGATTTGAGGTGTTGGGTTCAAATCCCATTAATTAATTATTAGGCTGTATACTTTGAGGTGAGGTTTCTCACTCTAACTTAATTGATTATTGTACAGTAATACTGCCCTATTATTGTACAGTAATACTGTCCTATTAGGCCAAGATTCATTACCAATTACCCAAAAAAAAAAAAAAAAGTTATGTAAACAATATTTCTTAGGGCTTTTGGGAGGACAAACTAAGTTCTCGTTAAAATAATTTTTCAATTTTCATACAAAATTGCATACAAATTCATTACCATTATCGAATGTTATCTGCATCGTTCCAAAAAAAAAAAGAGAGATAAAAGGAAGAACCTTTCAATAAAGTAAGCGACTGGGACGATGAAGGCAGCCGCGAAAAGAAGGCGATACGCCACTAAGACCCTGAGGTTCATGCCATCAACTGCAGCAAGCTTGTATAAAATGTTGACAACAGCAAATGAAACTTGAACAGTCACCATCATAATTATTGATTTTATGTCATTGATGAATTTCCAAAACTCAACCATCTTAAATTTGTAAATAAAACAACCCTAAACAATGAGGAAAGTCGTACTTCAATTCAATTCCTCCGAAGTTAGAGAGGACTTTCTCTCCTTTTTTTTTTTTTTTTTTATTATTATTTATTTTTTTTTATTTAGCTTGTTTTGTGTTTTGCAGTGCAACAGAATTGAAGCTTTATGAGCATGGAAATTTAAGAAGGATGTTTAAGTTTTGCTTCTTGGGATACCCCCAATTCAAGTCGTAAGTAAATGTATAACTAGAGGTTCCTGTAAAAAAATATATAAAAAAGTATATAACTACTAAGCTAGGTTGATGTCCAAATGTTAAGTGAAACACTTTGTGGCTTGGACGTCAATCCATATGGTATGTCAAAGGACTAACTCAACCACTTGTACGCTGGTCCAACTAACTAATGAATAGTCATTTTATTTTTTTTCTCTTTTCTTTTTTTGTTAAATCAGGATTTGTAAAGGATATATAGTACATTGTATTTTATACTTTGTAGATTTCATTGTTGTAGACTTAGGCTTTACTTTTCTCACCTTAATACAATAACATTTATAAATATATAATTTAAGTTCAACAAAAAATTTATTGTGTTTATAAAAATTTGTAAGTTAAGTTCATTAAAAAAATATAAAATTTAAATTCAACAAAAAAGTAGGTAGTTTTGATCAATAAAAATCAATAGCTTTAATAAAAAAAATACAACAGTAACTAACATAGTAGAAATATTATTTTTAAAAATGATTTAAGTTTAGCTTAACAAAAATAATTTTATTTCAATTTTATACAATTAAAGTTCAATGTAAATAATTTAAGTTTCTTTTTTTAAGAGTTTAGTATATATCAGGTGAATAAATTTGATCTACAAAATTGTTAAAAGTCAAAATTTTTTGAAAAAAATATATATTTTTACAATCATATGGAGCCAGGGGCAGATTTAGGGGGTTCATTGATCCCATTTTTTGAAAAAATTTAATAAGTTTTGATTTTTTATTATTTAAAAAAAGAAAATTATCAAAAGAAATATTGGTGGGAAAAATATTTGGATATTGAAGACTAGTTTAAGTCCCGTGCATTGCACAATTATTATTAAATCTTATAAAGGGTTGTTATTGAATTTTATAAAAATTTATACTCGTAATACTTATTATAAAATATATAACTTAAATTTTATTTATAGCTATACTAATATCAAGATTATTGACACTTAGACTTGATTAATTAAAAAAAAAAATCTATGAAGTTTTACTTTAAGTTTTGACCGGAATTGCAGAATCCTACTCCTAATAATAGTAGTCTTTTCCCATTTCCTATTTTCTTATTTTCCCCCAAATCCCCAGACCCTTAGAGTAACTGAACCAAACACAACCATTGTCCGTTGAGTCGCGTCGTACCCCACCCACCGATCATTGCCCTCCTGTCCGGTGAGTCACATGCAGTCCGCCGGAGCCCGGAGCTAAGGCCAGCGCATCTCTACAGCGTCAGCAGTACATCTTTTCTTCAGTTCTTCCCCTTTGAATTTGTTCGTTAGTCCTTTCTCCTCTGAATTTGTTTGTGTTAATTCTTTTTTTTTTTTTAAATTAGTGATAATTGTTTATTTGGTTGATTGAATTGGTTTTGATATGTTATTGACAAATTAAATAATTGAATGTGAATTGTGAGGTTTTAGAATTTTACTTGGTTTTTTAATTGATAATTAGTAGAAGTTCATTTTGTAAGATTTCTGTTTTTTGGGGTTTTTGTTTTACGTGTAATTAATCCTGGGCACCGTGCCGTGCCGGGCCGCCGCGGGCCGTGCCTGGCGGGCCGCGGGCTGGTTCGTGCCGTGCCGGTCGTGCCGGCGGGCCTAGGATTTCGTGCCGTGCCGTGCCGGCCATTTTCACAGGCCAGCCCACGGCACGGCACGGCCCTCGTGCCTGGCGGGCTCGTGCCGTGCCGGCCACGTGCCGGGCTGCGGGCTGATGCAGTTTTCATTTTTTTTTTTTTTTTTTTTTTTTTAATGACAACATTATTAATTAATAAGTTTATAATGTATATAAGTTATAAAATTATAATTATAAGTTTTATAAGGTAACTTATAAGTTTATAACTTATAAGTTATAAGTTATTAAGTTATGAATTTTATAATTATAAGTTGAATATTTATGTTTTATAATTTGTATATTCAATATTTATATTTATATATTTACTTTATACTATTACTTTAAAATTTAATGTTTATGATTTATTAGTAATTGGTATAATTTTATTTTTTTTTAATATGAATTTACAAATTGTAACAAAACGGGGAAAAAAGGCAAATTGGACTTTGGATGTGAATAATGCGTACTTTATATTATTATTACTTGAGTTGAGAAAATTGTACAATGATAACAATGAGAAAAATCATACAATGATGGTATTAAGCAAAAATTGGAAAATGATAAAATTGATATTTTTAAAATCGTACAATATACAATAATTGTCTATTCTTCTTCTCCTTCTTCTTGCTCGTCTTCGTCTTCGTCTTCGTCTTCGTCTTCGCCTTCGCCTTCAAGGTCATCGGCTAGTTGCATAGATTGGGAACTAGCCGAACCCGAACCGGAAGCGGAGGTTCCTTCTTCGTTGTCGTTGTGGTCGTAAGAACGGTCTTGTGAGCGATTTTCCGCATCCAACCAATCTTTGAAACACACGCACATTTCTAGTGTTTCGGGTTTTAGACTTGTTCTTCTATCGTCTAAAACTCTTCCGGATGCGCTGAAAGCTCGTTCGGAGGCGACGGAGGAAACTTGGATAGCAAGAATGTCTCGTGCCATTGCCGCCAAAGTTGGATGCTTCGAGCTTTGTTGTTTCCACCATGCAAGGAGGTCGAGGCTGTTTATCTCATCGTCGTCCATGCCTTTGGTGAAGTCGTAACTCAGGTACATCTGCAACTCCGAGACGTCGCTTTGCGTTCTCCTGATTGATGAATCACCTGAAAACCTTGAAATCAAGTTAGTAGCTTGTGAAAATAAATGTTTGGCCTTCTTACTTACGTTTTTGGATGGTTGAGAAGGCCCTGAGCGAGGAACGATGCCATATTTGGCTTCATAGACTCTATATAAAGCAAAAAACTGATCCTTCACATTAGTCTTATAGTTTTCTACATCATCGTCAAGAAACATGCATTGAAAGTAAATGTCAACTAACATAAATGTGTTTTCATACTTTTGCCTAGGATCTAATATGGAAGCAAAAATATAAATCAAAGGAATCTGACTATAATATTTACGCCACTTTTTTTCCATTGCTGGAAGATACTGATCATAATCACTTTGATCGCGATGATCAGCGAAAAGTTGGGCGAGTAAGCATGCATTAGAAAGAAAGTTTTGAGCACAAGGATTGTAAACAGTAGAAAAACAATACGTCATGTTATATAATAACTGTAAAAATTGCATATATCTTTCACAGTTATTCCAATCATCATCATACAAAGCATTTTGTGGAAATTTTTGGTTGTAAAATAATGTTAACGGGCCCTTGTACTCAATTGCCTTTGTTAACATGTCATAGGTGGAATTCCACCTAGTTGGGCAATCGATTCTAATTTTTATTACCCTTATCTTTTGTTGTTTTAGAAAACTCTTCCATTCTTGGTATCTCATGTTAGAGCTATTAATAGACATAATAGCATCTCTGATTTTGTTGTAGTATGGGCCAATTGCCCGAACTCCATCCTGTACACATAAGTTAAGTACATGGCAAACACATCTAGTATGAAGAGCTTCACCGTCTAATAGTACATCGGTTAAGTTTTGTTTGATAAGATTAGCTGTGTATGTCATAGAGGTTGCATTATCAAAAGTCATAGACATCATTTTATCTCGAAGGTTGTATTCGTCTATTGCTTGCATTAAATGGTGAGCAATGTTAATGCCGGTGTGTGGGTATTCCAGCATTTTGAAATGTATTATTCTTTTTTGTAACATCCATTGATCATCTACCCAATGGCAAGTCACACATAAATAGTGATATTTATAACCACTATCCCAAGAATCGGCTGTTAAAGATACTCTACAGTTAAGGTTACTCAATTCGGCTTGTAACCGGACTTTGTACTCTAGGAAATTTTTCATTGCGGCGGAACGAACGGTTTTCCTAGAGATTCTTTTATGTTGGGGTTGTAGTGCTTTGTTAATGTAGGTGTTGAATGCGTCACTTTCCGAGAAAAGAAAAGGTTGTTCGGCGTGTACTATCATTTTTCCTAGTTGTATGTAAAGCCGTATGGATGGAATTGGGAAATTTTGGGCTGGGTTGGATCACTAGCTGGTTTTGCACAAGCTTTCATGTGTCTAGATAAGTGTCCCGTCCCGTTTTTGGTAACTGCCGTGAATACACTATTACATGTTTTACATTTTGCCCATTGTTCACCATCTTTACTTAGGACAAAATAACGCCATACCTCACTCCTTCGGTTTTTCAAAAGTAGCATCTCAGTTTCGGTTAACCATTCATGATGTGTGTGATGGTTAGTAGGGGGACTAGTGGGAGTGGCAGTAGAAGGGGTAGAACCGGAGGGAATTCGGGTACTTTCTTGGCTACCTTGGCTAGAACAATAGTTTTGTTGATTACCGATATAATTAGGTGGAAATTGGTATGGTGGTAGTGGAAATTGGTTTAGTGGTGGTGCTGGAAATCCCGACGTATTATATGGCTCATAGCCCGGGGGGAAGTAAATGGGGTCATTGGTTTGACTCGTAATTTGGGGGCTCGTTGTATTTGGTGGTTCCCTAGAACTACTACTACGGATAAGTCGGCCTTTCCCCCTAGACCTAGATGATGGGTTGTTCGATGCCATAATTAACAATTAATTTTTTAATAAAAAGTGGTTAACTATAATAATAATAATTAATAACAACAATTTTAACAATAAAAATATCAATAATAATAATTAATAACAACAACTATAACAATAACAATAACAACAAAAATAAATAATAACAACAATTGTAACAATAATAATAATTAATAACAACAATTATAACAACAACAATAACAATTAACAACAATAATAATTAAACAAGATTGTTCTAATAATAACAATAAAACAATAATAAATTTAAGATTAGTTTAGATCTTACAACCGTGCTTCAACGCTCCACTAATTACGATTACGAACTTTTTAATTTTTTCCGATATTAGGAAAATAATTAGAGAATTTAAGAGAATAATTAGAGAATTTAAGAAAATAAGGATTATTAGAGATTTAGAGAATATAAGAGATAAGAAGAAGAGATTGTGATTTTGTGATTTGGGAATGAAATGGAGGTGAGTATTTATAGAATTTTTGGCAAAAAACTAGCCGTTTATAGCCGTTTAACTAGCCGTTGGCCCGCGGGCCGTGCCTGCGGGCCAGCACGGCGGGCCATGCCCGTGCTCGTGCCGGGCCGTGCCTGGGAATTCTCCACCGTGTCCGTGGCACGGCCCGTGGCACGGAAGTCGAACTTCGTGCCGTGCCGTGCTTGACTTCGGGCCGTGCCGGGCTGCTCCGAACGGCGGGCCGTGCCGGGCGGCACGCGGGCCAACCCGGCCCGTGCCCAGGTTTACGTGTAATA